TGGGAGTTGATTGAATATTGAATCAACCTATGTCAACAGTTGTCTTTACATTTAATGAACATTATTCAAAGTAAATGATGTTAATTAAAAAAAAGAAAGATTAATGACTTGTCATGAAATTTTTTTTCTTTGTCATTCCAGGTAGTGTATAAAAGCATAGTATATATTTAATCTCAACTATTTCTACATAACTTCTGTGAGTGTTTTTTTTTAGCTTAAAAGCACGTGTTCAAACAACGTAGGTTGGTTCTATATATCATGATAGCACAAAAAAGTGAAGGAAAAAAAAGTGCTAATACTAGAAGAAGAGAAAAAAACAACCGTTGAATTAATATATTATTTCCAGATAGATAAGAATGCTCCTGGTTATCATATTGATCTGTTTTCTTTCGTAAAGAGAGAGAGAGAGAGAAAGTATTTGACAGGTGAAAACATTTACTTGATGGGGCAATGCGCTTTTTTGTTGCAGACTGAGCTGTTTTTCAAGAACTTGATTAAATTGGTAAGATAAAAACACTATGTGTGGAGGAGATTTTATTCTTGTTATGAAAAAAGAAAGCACATAGATTTTTACCCGCAGAAGAAAAAAGAAATAACTGTCGAGCAGCTTGTTGGCAAAAATAAAATACAATTTACAATAAAAATTAGAAAAACATCATCTGTTTCTCTATTTGTACTAGTTTTTTTTTTTTTATGTAGATCGCTCTTTCTCTATCATGAACTTATTTTATAGTACTCGAGATCATGAACGATGCTAGTTCGATTTGTTTTTGAAAGTAATAAGCTTTGAAATGGGTTGATTTAGCCTCTTGGCTACGCCGGGTGAAAATTCGAGAGAAATTTTTTTTTCTCTCGAATTTTCATTTCTCAAATGTATGACTTCCATAGAACTTCAGTATTAACTCATTTTTTTCATCTTATCTTTCGCCCACTGATTAATATGCTTATACCTTAACAGTCATGTAAGCAGTTGTATAACATTTTAACATCTATTCACTTTCGTCATCAAGATATTGAAATTTTTGTTTGTTTAGTTAAGTAGGTTTTACTTTAATTTACACAGAAGGTATGGAAAATTTGTGGAAACAAAAATTTCATCTTGCTACTCCTCATGCATAGTGCTGATACAATGTCCATTTTAGATATGAATATTAATTTTTATTTCTTTAATTAATATAAATTGATAAGTATTTTCACATAATATTTTTGTTGTAATCTACTTTTCTAGACCAAAAAAAGAAACAAAAACTTCATATGGGTCTTCGTTATATTACGAATAATCGACATCGAGAATCTGTATCTTCTTCTACTAGTCGTACATATTATAATAAAACATTTGAAGATACAACTGATTTATTTCTATTTGCTTGTGCACATGGTGATTATATGCTTGTACATCGACTTTTAATAGATAATGAAGTTGAAGCTGATGTATCAAATAAAATGGGTAAAAGTGCTCTTCAATTAGCTATTGAAAATGAACATTTTGAAGTTGTTAAAGTTATACTTGATAAAATTCCTTATGAAAAATTTCGTGATGCACTTCTATTGGCAATTTATTTGGGTCATACAAATATAGCTGATTTTATTATGAATCATCCAACCTATCGAACATTTAGCGGTGGTTTTCTTGATCCAACACATCCACAAGCATATGATGATTCACAATTTAGTTCTGATATTAGTAAGTATTTCAATTAGAATTCATACGATAATCTTATTATTTAGCCTGATGAATGTACTGAGAACTCAGGGTATCCTACTATTAGAGTATGTTACAGGAACCTTTGAGTACTTAATGGGTTTTTACCACTTGATTACAAAATGCTTGTAAATGTTCAATTTATTAACTT